AAGTGTTGGAGCACCGACAACTTCTGGAGACGATCTATTCCATGGGTTGAATGGTCTCACCAAATTTCTCCTTAGTTCTAGGTTGCTTCTCTCCTTGGTTAGTGTCCATCCGTTGTTTTGTGTTCTGTCTTCAGGTGCTTTGGAAAATAGCTTGAACCCCACGTCTTTGTCGGAGCCCCTCAAGTATTGGAAGACTGCTATCATGTCTCCCCTAGTCCTTCTTTTCATTAGACTAGACCAGTATTGGCGAACCTTTTCGAGATTGAGTGCCGAAATGGAGGTGCGCGGGAGCACTGGAAACCAGAAGAGCAGCTCCCTGGCGTGCATACGCGGGAGCACCGAAAACCGGAAGAGCAGTTCCCCGGCACACATGCGCACACCAGGAAGCTGAGCTTCCAGTTTCTGGTGTGCGCATGCGTGCTGGTCACCTGGTCTTCCGGTTTCTGGCACACATGCATGGGCAAAGACCAGCTGGCCAAAGCGCATACACATGCTGGAAACTGGAAGCTCAGCTTCCCGGCACTCCCGCACGCGTGAAGACCATGCGTGCCAGAACCTGGAAGAGCAACGGGCGACGGCTGGTGTGCCCGGAGAGGTGGCTCTGCATGCCACTTCCGGCACGCGTGACATAGGTTCACCATCACGGGACTAGACATACCCAATTCCTGTAGCCGTTCTTCGTATGTTTTATCCTCCAGCCCCCTTAATCATTCTTGTGGTTCTTCTCTGGACTCATTCCAGAATCTCAACATCTTTTTTAAATTGTGCTGAACAGAACTGGATGAAGTATTCCGGGTGTGGTCTTATTAAGGCTTTGTAAAGCAGCGTTAAAACTTCATGTGATCTTGATTTTATCCATCTGTTAACATAGTCTAGGATTGCATTGGCTTTTTTTGGCTGTTGCTGCACACTGCTGGTTCATATTTAAAGGATTGTCCACTAGGACTAAGGGATGTGGTGGCTCAGTGGCTAAGACGTTGAGCTTGTCGATCAAAAGGTCGGCAGTTCAGCGGTTCGAATCCCGAGTGCCGCGTAACGGGGTGAGCTCCCGTGACTTGTCCCAGCTTCTGCCAACCTAGTAGTTTGAAAGCAGGTAAAAAATGCAAGTAGAAAAATCCTTTGGTGGGAAGGTAACAGCCTTCCGTGTGCCTTTAGCATTGAGTCATGCTGGCCATATGACCACGGAGACGTCTTCGGACAGTGCTGGCTCTTCGGCTTTGAAACAGAGATGAGCACCGCCCCCTAGAGTCAGGAACAACTAGTACATATATGCGAGGGGAACCTTTACCTTTACCACTAGGACTCTAAGATCCCACTTGGAGTCCTATTTTATTTCTATGCAAGGAGTGAAAAACAGAAAGTAAAAAAAAAATCTTTTCAAGGTTTAGAATAAACAAAGCATAAAATCTTCAGAAATATCAGACAGATGTCAGGCAAGGGAGCAATGACAATGACAATGGATAGAGACATCTGGTAAATACATATTTTGGATTTGGTTACGGTTTGCTATTAATCCGTCTTTGTCTGCTGTTTATGAATATTACCTGGATTTTTCCAAAGCCACAATCTATGTGTTGTCCAAAATTCTGTACTGAGCACAAACACCTAAGCATTAAATTTATTTATTTTTTTCTCTTTGAAATTTAGTAATAAATATTTTCAAGGGAAAGGGCCATTACTCCTGATGGCAGACAAAATATAATGGTAACAATCAACATACAATTACATCTGCAGCTTGTCCTCAACCTACGGCCACAATTGAGCCCAAAATTTATGTTGTTAAGTGAGACATAGGTTAAGTGAGCTTTGCCCCCATTTTACAACCTTTGTTTCCACAATTGCTAAGGCAGGGGTCTGCAACCTTAAACACTCAAAGAGCCATTTGGACCCGTTTCCCACAGAAAAGAAAACACCGGGAGCCACAAAATCCTACCGGTGTCTGACTATTTCTTGAGCGGCCACAAAACTAGCATATGTAGTTGAATTAAACATTCTGTTTTTCTTCTGAAACTTTTATTTTCTTGGATTTATCCATGGTTGGCCTACCAAGGGTTGAAAAGCTCAATAAATCATGTGCCGGCAGGTGTCACACATTGCCGGCTGTGACGCATATTTTTTTTTTTAATTTGATTTATATGCCGCCCTTCTCCGGAGACTCAGGGCGGCTTACAATGTGCTCAGCAATAGCCTTCATCCTTTTGTATATTTATACAGCTTATTGCCCCCACAACTGGGTCCTCAATTTACCTACCTTAGAAAGGATAGAAGGCTGAGTCAACCTTGAGCCTTGGCGAGATTCGAACCTGCAGTAATTGCAGGCAGCTGGTCTTAATAACCAGCTTAATAACAGGGTGTCTTAGACCACTGTACTACCAAGGCTCTTTTTGTCATTTTGAATGGCAAGGAGCCACAGCAGAGGGGTGAAAGAGCCACATGCGGCTCCAGAGCCGCAGGTTGCTGATCCCTGTGCTAAGGGAATCACCACAGTTGATAAGTTAGTAACCCGGCTGTTAAATGAATCTGGCTTTCCCCATGGAAAGAAGGTCGCAAAAGGGGAAATCACATGACCGTGTGGACACAGCAACGGTCATAAGTATGAGTCAGTTGCCAAGCCTCTGAATTTTGACTACGTGATCGTGGGGATGCTATACAAAGGTCTTAAGTGTGAAAAACGGTCATAAGCCACTTTTATCAGTGCCATTTGAGCGGTCACTAAACGAACTGTTGTAAATCGAGGACTACGGGTACGCCCTGGGATTGCAGCCAGATTGTTATTTCCAGCATTTTACAATTCGCTTTAAAAAAAAATGAAAGAAGAGAGCTGGCTTGTTATTTGTATCAACTCTTTCCCTCACTGAAAGGCAACTAAGTTAGTCTCGAGAATTTTGGAAAGCAACCAGGCATATCCGGTGTAATATGTCTATTTGTTGTTGGCATATTTCTAAACAACCCAAGTACACAACAGCTTCTTTGAAAGCTGCCTAAGGCCAGAGGTGGGATTCACTTACCTTCCCTACCGGTTCGCAAATGTGAGCGCATGCACAGACATGAGCATGTGCTCACATTTGCCTTCCGTGCATGCGCAGTACTCGCGCATTACATCCGGGTGGGTGGGCGGAGCCTCCCAACAGTCGCCGTTACCGGTTCGCCCGATCCGGAGACAACCAGCTGAATCCCACCACTGCCTGATGCCTATTGGATAGCAAGAACAATTCTCTCTAATGTGGTTTTTTTGCCAATCAACTCTAGTCTTCCTGGCTTCTAAGATTTATTCAAGTTCTCCATCAGATAAATCCATCCTGTGATTTACATTGATACTCTTTTTTTTTTTTTGAAAAAAAAATATTTTTAAAACATAAAATATAAAATACATCTTTTTAGAGCAAGAATTTGATCCGGTATAAAGCAAATACAATTACTCACATTCCCTCAACCAATTTTGTTCCAAATTTTATTCATTTACCTCTTTAAAAAAAAAAAGAAAGAAAGAAAATCTTATTCAAAACATTTAAATTTTAAACATTCTACTATGTCACCCTAAATTCTAAACAATTATTTCCAAATAGACATCATTCCATTGATACTCTTGAACAGGGGTCTGCAACCTTAAATACTCAAAAGAGCCATTTGGACCCATTTCCCACAGAAAAGAAAACACCGGGAGTCACAAAACCTGGGTGGCCAACTCAATGTCACTTACTTCCACCAGTCACATGACCACCCCTAGCCACGCCTACCCAGCTGGTCATTAGGGCAGAGAACTAGTTAAAAAACACCAGGAACCACAAAATCCTTTTGACATCTCTCTCTCTCCCCCCCCCACTCTCTCCCCCTCTCTCTGTATCTCTCTGTCTCTGCCCTGGCCGCTTCTCCATCCCCCGCCATCGCCCTTACCTTCTCAGGCCAGGCGAGGAGTAACTGGGAGGGGAGGACGAGGGGCGGGGCCAGCCAGTGGTGGGATCACCTGACAGGGAGCCACAGCAGAGGGCCCAAAGAGCCACATGCGGCTCCGGAGCCACAGGTTGCTGACCCCTACTCTTGGCTATTAATGCTCCATATGTAGGAGAAGGAGTGGCAGAACCTGGAGGCGGAGTGAAAAGAGGAATCGGCCTAGAATCCCTACGTAGTCACAAGTCCAACCTCCCCACCCTTGAATTCTGTAGATCCTTATCTAACTCCCTATCAGTTGAGCAGATTCCTGTTCATAGGCTTTTAGCAATGAAGTACCTTAATTGAACCTTCACATGTGAACCTGATCTTTCATGCCTGATACTTTAGCTCTTTCTATTTGTCAGGGTATAACGAGTTAACAGATGTAAGCTGATGGGAAGCTGTAAGTGGGCGCAGCTGGAAGCTGATGCAATAGAATGAGGCAGCAGAGTTACTGCCACTTTAAGAAGCTGGATCAGAAGCTGCCTATATAAAGGAAGCTATTAGAGAGCGTTCCTTCTCCTCGAGCCTTCTCCTCGTGCATTGTACTTCTTGTTCTCTCGTCATGTGTATCATTGCTCTTTGTTGTATCTGTAGCTGTAAAGGTATTTAACCACGCATAAGTTTGTAAATATTTCACTGTAGATAAAACCACTGTTAGTTATACTAAAAGGCTCTGTGTGCTGTGTTTTGCTCCTGGGTTTATCTCAGAATACTGGTTACGCTGCCTAAACTCTGACACTATTGCCTTTGGAGGCAAAGCTACTTACACATCATTGACATGTAATTCTTTTTCACACATAATTAAGCCTTGAAGGTGCAACCCTGCGACGTAAATTCATACCTGTCGTTTGGGTCAGGATGTCATGACATGACGGCGTGGCATGACGGACACCAGCAGATGGTTTTCATCCGTCGTGTCATGACATCACTACTCTTTTAATTGGCACAGAAAGTAGGTCTCCTTCTTGAAGTCCGGTCAATTCAGGTTTTCACGAGGCCGTTTTTTTCTTTTTTGTTTTTTTTTAAGGGATCGCTTCAGTTGACAATGGGTTTCTTTATATTTTCAGCCACATAAATAGGAGGACCCAATTTGAAAATCCTGTTTTGGAAGCCAAAAGGAAGTTACAACACCGTACCATGCCCAACGCCGAACTTGGAATCAAGCCTTTGCCAGTTCAAAGTTTCCGAGGTACACCATCCCCTCAGTGCACACAATTCAGAAGGGACCAATTCTATGAAGTTTGGTGTGATACCTGCGACACTGTTTTGAAGATGTGAATATATATAGGAAACCTCTAATTTTTTTTCCCTCCAAAATATATATATATATATATTGAAAGATTGTGGCTAATTATCACAGTTCCTAAAATTCCAAAACTAGTAGGAAATAAGTATAAAGTACGGGTTTAAATAGCTTTCTTAAATGTTGCCATGGTAAGCTTTTCTAACTCAACGTGAGGGGAAAAAATTCTTTTCCAGTCTATTTACAACAAAGCTATATAACGGGTTATCTGGTAAGATTTGTTTTGCTAGACAGAATGAGAAAGAGCTAATTCAAAATAACAGTAAGAGGGTTATCCAGATGCAGCTAGAGACGGATTGTTGAGTCCCAGGGGAGCAGCACAAACCATTTTAGGAAGCAAAATCACAAAATCGTGGTTAACTAAAGCTCCAGTCTTGTCTTTTTTAGCATACACGCCAGGAAAGAGTGACTTCCAATGGGTAGATAACAATAGTAGTAGCAGTGATTTTATAGCCCTCTCTACGTGGTTTACAGAGTCAGCATATTGCCCCCAACAATTTGGGTCCTTGTTTTATCCTTCTCAGAAGGACGGATGGCTGAGTCAACCTTGAGCCAGTCAGGACCGAACTGCTGACAGTGGGCAGAATTAGCCTGCAATACTGCATTCTAACCACTGTGCCACCATGGCGGAGAAAGCAATAGCACTTTTATACTGCTTCACAGTGTTTTAAAGCCATCTCTAAGCGGTTTACACATTGCCCCCAACAATCTGGGTCCTCATTTTATTGACCTTGGAAGGATGGAAGGCTGAGTCAACCTTGAGCCGGCGAGAATTGAACTGCTGGCAGTGGGCAGAATTAGCCAGCAATACTGCATTCTAATCACTGTGCCACCAGGGTTCTTGGATGACCTCAGTTGGTTCTTTGGGTCCCGTTGGCCTCCGTACACAACTGATACTAAATTTGTGTGTGTTCTCTTTTTCCTTTAGTTGCAAACATGGAGGGTGAGATAAAGAAGGGACCAAGATTGGCCCTGGGGAAGGGGGAGGTTAATTCATTCTTTCCAAACTCCAGTCGCCCACAGGAGAGACACTGATCTGGGGACCAAGAGCAGCTTTATTTATTTGTTTTAGATGACCTAAGAAAAAAATGATGTTTTTCTTTCTTCTTCTACCCCCTGTCCTAGTTCTGATCAAACATTTGATCTACACAGATCTTAGCAACCAAATGGCACTTGGGTAAAGGGCACAAGCCATTCACCTGGCCTTGGTTATCTGAGAAGATAATAGCAATAGCACTTGGATTTATATTCCGCTCTACAGTGCTTTATAGCCCTCCCTGAGCAGTTTACAACGTCAGCCTCTTGCCCCCAACAATCTGGGTACTCATTTTATCATCCTCGGAAGGATGGAAGGTTGAGTCAACCTTGAGCTGATCAGGATCGAACTCTTGGCAGTGGGCAGTGTCAGCCTGCAATATTCTAATCACTGCACCATCACGGCTCTAGAGATAAGTGTAGGAGTCTCGTGGAAGAATTTCTCCATGGGTTAATTCCACAGTAAATGGACCATCCTTGCAAAGGACGTGGTGGCTGAGTGGCTAAGACACTGAGCTTGTCGATCGAAAGGTTGGCAGTTCAGCGGTTTGAATCCCTAGTGCTGCGTAACGGGGTGAGCTCCCGTTACTTGTCCCAGCTTCTGCCAACCTAGAAGTTTGAAAGCACATTAAAAATGCAAGTAGAAAAATAGGGACCACCTTTGCTGGGAAGGTAACAGTGTTCCGTGAGCCTTTGGCGTTGAGTCATGCCGGCCACATGACCACGGAGACGTCTTCGGACAGCACTGGCTCTTCGGCTTTGAAACGGAGATGAGCACCGCCCCCTAGAGTCGGGAACGACCAGCACATATGTGCGAGGGAAACCTTTACCTTTAGCCAAAGATGGAAAAGGCTAAGCAGATACAGATCTGCTTGGCATTTAGGTGGGAAGCCATCCAGGTGCAGGCAACTATGAACCTACAACAAGAAGGCAGTGACTCATGGATGCGAACATTGGCACAAACGTGTATCGACCCAGACGTTGAGCTCCGTTCAAGGAACTCTTTCCTTTTCTTTCTTTCTTTTTTTTTAACCTCACCTCTTGAGCTAAAAGTCGAAAGAGATTTTATTACCTTGCCTTGCCAACCTGTGCGAGGTGACTCGATGCTCTGTTTGGTGGGAGAATGAACAATGCATATGTTAGCCGTGACTAAGTTAATGCACGCAAATGGAACGAAGGGTGATTAACAGTCTGTATTGGTGCAGAGATTTTTGACCTAAGAGTCTACGCAAAGAATGAGGCTTCTTCTTCTTTATATCAGTAGACAACGCCTCCTCAACCTTACCTAGGCCCAAACATGTTCACCCGCGCCTTGCTCCTCAGAGGTCTCGCAGTGTGAGCGACCTGTCTCAATATCGGCGGGACATTGCTGGAATGTACAGACTGTATGGTACGTCCAAGTGCTGCTGTTTACCTGGGCTGCACTTTTATCAAAAGTAGTGTGTTGAATTCTTGCCCCATCCCCGGAAAACAAAAAAAAAACACCCCCAAAAAACACCCCCGAACACCTAGCTTTTTTCCCCCACCACCACGTCCCGTGATCTGATCACTTCGTGAAGCACCGGTTGATCCGCTGAGGTTTATTCGTTTTGCCGCCCTTTTCAAGGGATCCCTCTAAAGGTGGATTCCTGGATGGTTGAACCAGCCAGAGAACTAAAACTCACGCTTGTGGAGAAATGAAAACGTGCTGAGACAAACACGCACGTCCTAACGTATGCATGCGGCCCCCCTTTGTGTGATTGAGAAGTCCGTCTTCCAATTGTTTTTGCAAACAATTTTTTTTTTTTTGACGCAATAGTTTGATTAAATTGAGAAGTCACCGTCTGGCCAGTTTCTCACCTTTCCAAAAGTCCCAACTCTGAATGAACAGAGAATTCATTAAGAGTCCGAATGGGAGGCTACTTTAGATAAACGAATCCTACCCTTGCTGGTTAATTTAGCTTGACGTAGAAAAAAAATAATAATAACAACTCACTAATATTCTTGGTTCTCTCAAAACGCTTGCACTTTTACTTTGCTTCGACTCGTACAAACGCCACTTTGTCCCCGCTGCTGCTTTCGCTGCACTGTGTGAAGCCCAGCTCTTGCGTGTGTCTGTTTGCGCGCGTCCCCAACCGCGGGGGGCAACCCAAGCGTCTCATGTCTCCCATTTGTGTTGGCTCATGTAGAAAAACCCCTCTTCACCCGGGACGCTTCCCAGCTGAAAGGTACCTTCCTCAGCACAACCCTCAAGAAAAGCAATATGGGCTTCGGATTTACCATCATCGGTGGGGACGAGCCCGACGAATTTCTCCAGGTGAAGAGCGTCATTCCGGATGGGCCGGCGGCACAAGACAGCAAGATGGAAACAGGTAACAGGCCCACAGTTGGCAATTTGTGTTTAGTGGATAGCAATCCTGCATCTCTGCGGGAATATATGTGTGTGTGCGTATACCAGTGGTGGGTTGCTCCTGGTTCAGTCCGGTTCTATAGAACCGGTAGTAAAACCAGTCGGAGGCTCCGCCCACCCACCACGACGTCATCATGGGTGATCTGCACAAATCTGCGCTCCCGCTGCGAACCGGTAGTAAAGGTAAGTGGAACCCACCCCTGGTGTATATATACACGTACACGTACACATACACACATACATACACACACACACACACACACACACACACACACACACATGTCTCAACTTCAGCTAACATCTCTGCAGGAAAATATGTTTGCATGTATATGTACATATAAATATACATACACACACTCACACACATATAGTATATACATATATATGTGTGTGTTTATGGATATGGATATGGGTATGTGTGTATGGATATGGATATGTATGTATCTATGTATATATGTATACATGCAGCGGTGGGATTCAGTCGGTTTGCACTGGTTCACCCGAACCGGTTGTTAACTTTTTGCTCAGTTCGGCAAACCAGCTGGTTCCACTACTGGCTGGCCCCGCCCCTCATCCCTCCCCTCCCCGTCACTCCTCGCCTGCCCTGAAAGGGTAAGGGCAATGGCAGGGGAGGGGAGGGAGTCTTGCTCTGGGTGGGGTTGAAAATCTCCGCCGTAGAGGGTAGTACAAGAAGTGGTGCAAGGAGTAGCACAGCTCTTGCCGGCCGGAGTGAAGTAATGGCGCTGTTGCAGCAAAGTGAAATTTAGTGCACTTCACAATGGAGGAGATAGGGTCCCCTCCTCCTCATGGAGCCCATTACAACACAGAGCCACAATATGACCCTGCCCCACTTGCCCCTGGCAACAGCAGCGGTCTCAGCTGCAGGCGGGTCAGGTCAGCGGGCAGGCCATGAGGCAGCGGTGGCGAACGCGGCAGGCCAGTGTCTCAGGGCGGAGAGCAGGTTGTGTAGACACACAAGACCCCCAAGCGACTGAGGCATCTGTGCCCAGCTGCATCAACAAAGGCTGGAAGTAGCCGCTCGCCATTTCCTGCTGCAAAAATCTTTTTTTAAAAACCCTGACTGTTAGACAGCAAGACCCAGGAAGAGATGAGGTGCCGGAGAATCAGACCCAGCTGCTTCTGTCCGCCGCAGTGCTTCCCAGATGCGGCTTACAGCTCCGAGCCCAAAGTGGCAGGAGGAGAGCATTGCCTTGAGCGGAAATGTACTGTGCCAAGTGGAATGCTGTTGATGCACAACGACGAGTATAGGGGCATTTCGCTCCCGCACTAAGGCTCCAGCCATTGCCACCGCCACTTCGGCCTGCCTGCGCCACCCCACCTTTCCGTGAGCGACGTTGAGTTGGCCACACCCACTTAGTCACATGAAACCCCCCCTTCCCAGCCATGCCTACCCAGCTGGTCATTAGGGAGAACCAGTTGTTAAGTTACTTGAATTGCATCACTGTGTATATGTATATATGTATATGTATGTACTGTATGTATCAGTAGTGGGTTTCAAATTTTTTTACTACTGGTCTGTGGGCGTGGCTTAGTGGGCGTGGCTTGGTGGGTGTGGCAGAGGAAAGATACTGTAAAATCTCCATTCCCACCCCACTCCAGGGGAAAGGATACTGCAAAATCCCCATTTCCTCCTGATCAGCTGGGACTCGGGAGACAGAGAATAGATGGGGGCGGGGCCAGTCAGAATTTTTACTACCGGTTCTCTGAACTACTTAAAATTTCTGCTACCGGTTCTCCAGAACTGGTCAGAACCTGCTGAAACCCACCTCTGCTACCTCTGTGTATTTGTATATGTGTATGTGTGTGTGATATGTATTTGTCTATATGTGTACTGTATGTGTGTGTATGAGTATATGTATGTGTGCATGTGTGTATCTATGTGTATGTAGGGGTGGGTTCTACTTACCTTTACTACCGGTTCGCATCGCACCCATGTGCTCTTTCGCGCATGAGCAGAAGCTTCGGTGGCTAGAAAGATCATAAAATGTTGGCAAAAGTCATTTTAAAAAATGTCTCACTTAACAACAGAAATTATGGGTTCAATCATGGTCATAAGGCAAGGACTATCTGCAATTACAATTTTATTTCTTTTAAGTTATGCCTGCAGTTGAATCCTTCATTCTCATCTGGATTTCCGGTTGTGAAAAAGTTTGTGTGTTGCCCCAGAAGGATTCAGTATTTCTGACTGAACAAAATCTGTAATGGCATCTCCTTCTTATTATTTTTTAATGAGATAATTAATCGATATCCATTATCCGTCCTTATTTCCTCTGAAGGGTTGGTCTGTATATCAGGATCTTTTAATCTTTCCTACACCTCAGTATAAATTGCAGTGTATTTACACTGATCCATATACCGCAGTTCTATAGTCCTTTTTATCTTGCTACAGACGTACCACAATTCTGATATTTCTGAAAGGAAGTTTCAGAACGATGATTCCAGCTTTTATTAATATTGTATTACTCCGAGAATTGAACTCCCTTGTCCTTTTTCTGTAATTCTTTTTGTTGCTGTCTTATTCAACTTTAATTTTCATTCAGTCTGAGTTGTCTACAATGCCGGAATAATACCAGGGTGCCTCCATTTTATGTTAAGCAAAATCTTGATACGAACTTGTTGCTTGGACTTCAGAGTTATTGGATTTAAATCCCTAGATAGTTGCAGTTTTATTGCATTTTTTTTTTCCTGAGCTTTGCCTGCCTTTCTTTCGGATCAAGCCAAGGAACGTATTTTCTGTACGCTGTTGAAAACGTCAGATAAGCTTCGGTTTGAAAGAAGACGTTCAAATATTGTAAGAACTCGTGATTTTCTCGGTTCGTGAGAAAACTAATTAAGGTGAATCAAGAGTCAAATGTTATAAAGAGAGCCAATGGTTTCACTTCGAATTTGCCAAATAAATTATCTTTAGATAAACGCTATATGTAGTGTTCCATTAAAATTCAAGCTTATGGAGACAGAGAGGGAGAGAGAGAGAGAGAGAGAGAAATGATTAGATAGATAGATAGATAGATAGATAGATAGATAGATAGATAGATAGATAGATAGAGGATGGATAGATAGATAGATAGATAGATAGATAGATAGATAGATAGATAGATAGATGATGGATGATAGATAGATGATGGATGGATGGATGGATGGATGGATGGATGGATGGATGGATGGATGGATGGATGGATGGATGGAGAGAGAGAGAGGGAGGGAGGGAGGGAGAGAGAGAGAGAGAGAGAGAGAGAGAGAGAGAGAGAGAGAGAGAGAGTGAGTGAGAGTGTCAGAGAGACCTTGGGGTTGCTGGAACGGTGATAAAAATAAAAATGGTCCTGAGTCACTTTTTTCAATGCCATGGTCACTGTGAACGGTCGCTAAATGAAATGTTGTAAGTTGAGGACCACCTGTATTTTTAAAAATTATTTTAAATAATGAAATAAAAATGGTTGAATTGTCCCTTGGTGAGTTAGGCGGCATCAACAGAGGGATAGCATCAGGGGTGGACTTCAAAAATTTTAGCAAGGAGTTCTCTGCCCGGTTGCTGGGTGGGAGTGACTATGGTGGGCGTGGCCTAGTCAGCCTCCTGTAGCAAGGCAGGGGGGGTGTTTTTGCCCTCCCCAGGCTCCAGAGGCTTTCCTCGAGCCTCCAGGAGGGCGAAAATGGCCTCCCCGTGCTCTGGAGGCCCTCTGGAGGCCATAAACAGGCCCGTTTCTGGCCTTCCTGAACTTCCAGTAGGCCCGTTTTTTGCCCTCCCCGAGCCTCCGTGCTCGCCCTGCACTTACCTGCATCCAAAATGGGCCACATGGGGACTCCTGGGCGGGGTGGGGGGAGGGGCCAGCCAGGAGTGGGATTTGGGGGTTCTCCGAACTTTCACAAAATCTTAGCTAGAGGTTCTCCCGAACCTCTGCGAACCCCCAGCAGCCCACCCCTGTCCTGGAGGTGTGATGACCTGGGGCACAGCACAGAGGCAGCCCAGGCAGATGACAGTTTAAATTGCCTTTTTTTTAATTTTATTTTTTAATTTGATTTATATGCCGCCCTTCTCCGGAGACTCAGGGCGGCTTACAATGCGCTAAGCAACAGCCTTCATCCTTTTGTATATTTATACAAAGTCAGCTTATTGCCCCCACAATCTGGGTCCTCAATTTACCTACCTTAGAAAGGATGGAAGGCTGAGTCAACCTTGAGCCTGGCGAGATTTGAACCTGCAGTAATTGCAGGCAGCTGGTCTTAATAACAGGGTGCTTTAGACCACTGTTCTACCAAGGCTCTTTTATTGCTCCAAAGTTCCCCAAACGCTTCCACGTTTCTGACAAGTCCCAAAGCAAAGTGATCACACACACACACACATACACACACACACACACACACAAGTAGTCCAGCCCAACGCTGTGAACACAACGGCTGCAAAGCAAGAAATCCAGCAGGGCAAATCAATTAAGCCAGGAAGCCAGGAAGAAAGCAAGAAGTCCATGAAAGATCAAACGTCGGCAACAGCACTCAACACTCCAGGAATTCAGTGTTTGTTCCCGACAAATGCCCCTCCCCACAGCATCTCCTTAAGTCTCAGTCCCCAGGCGTGCCTTGTGGAGAGGGGCAGGGCGCTCTCCTCCCGAGTAGATGGGTCAGTCTGCGCTGTTCCTGCCTTCTCTCCACTCTGCGTGCTCGAGGATCAGGAGGGGGTGGTCCTTGCTCATCGCCTGAGCTCTGTCTCTCATGTTCCCTGCTTAGCCTCTCTTGATCATCCTGCTCCCCACTTCCTCCCTGCCTACAATCCGTCCCAATCCTGAAAGTTGAGGACCCAGTTTGTGGGGGTAATAAGCTGACTTTGTATAAATATACAAAAGGATGAAGGCTATTGCTTATTGCTTAGTGCATTGTAAGCCGCCCTGAGTCTCCGGAGAAGGGCGGCATATAAATCAAATAAAAAAAATTTTAAAAAGTCCCTGACCT